ACATCATAACACTGAGGCACAAGCACGGTTTTTATATTTTGACTCATATTTATTTTTCGCATCGATTAATATGGATTTTTAATATTCTCAAGTTTTCTAAAAACACATGATGCACGTAACCAGAGATAAACATAGCTACACAGAATATACCCCCTTTTTGGGGGGATATTTTGTGCATAGATAAAGGCAAGCAGCAGTTGTCTCCTGCTCCAATGTCAATCATGGAAAAGTGCTGAATTGTCACACCCCGGATATCACATCACTGATAAACCTATATTGACAAAATCTAAATTTTGTCTTGCTTAGAAAAACAGTATTCTAATAACTAATAAATCTACAATCATATAGGTAATTTAAAAAATCACGATTTGTGTAATAGCACATAATAATTTGATTATGCCAATAACCAATAAATTATAAGCTTTGCAGCTTTTCAAAAATTCTGAGAGCTTCTGACCGCCAAGCAGCACTGCGTGAAAGATGATTCTCATTGGTCCGCTCTCATTGTCACTGTCGAATGTCACGTTATAGCCGGACGTAATCCGTGTACACACTAAGCGGATAATTTGTTATATGCATTTTAATTGTTTGAATTTCATAAGGTGGGAACTGTTAGCTCCGGATAAATTTATTTGAGTAATATAGACATTTTATTAATATTTCCGAATAAAATTATAACTTTGACGCATTTAAAAAGAAAAGTTTATATAAACTCTTGTACTTGTACGTGCCCTTACGTTTCTGCTGCGGGCACGCAAAATTTATTTTCGATAAATTTTGTTAATTTGTTAATCAAAACACCATATTTTCAGTATTTTATAAGGGTCTTAGGTTTTAGTAGTAAGAAGATTTACTTTTGCATGCCCTTACTTTTCTGCTGCGGGCACCCAAAATTTATATTCAACCAATTTGGAATATACCGTAGATATAATTCATGTATATTACCGGAATATTTGTTTTGAACATACTAGGTGCATACCTAGGATGTACTTTTTATGAACTTTGATGAATATACATGCATGTATTTCCACGAACATGTTAGGAATGTTCAACCATGTATATTCCCAGGATATTCCCGCAATGTTCTGTATATTTTTTGAACAGTCTAGGATATTCATAGAATATCAAATGCGATCTGGGCAAGTCATCAGAACAGTGTAAGTGTTCAAGCAAACCACTTCTGAGGATGCAAGCCACTCGTGCTTGCGAAACGTCAAGAAGAAATTCTAACGAACGACGGCCTAAAAACCCGAAAAACCCATTAGTTTCATAGTACCTAAAGTTTGTTCAAACTAGCACGACGGCGCCAGACCGGCTTGGCGCGGCCTTGGTCCCAAGCAATAGTTACCGGGTAAAAGTATTCTAGTGAAAACGGGCTCTCGGTGAAAAGTGTTTAGGTTCCATGCTTCATCAATCTGAAGCATTTTCGACATTTTTTGCCATTTCAAGTGTTCTACAGCACAATTCAAACACACAAACGGCACGAAATACCGACAAATGTAACGTTGACATTGTAATGACTGTTTTCTTGTCAACAAATGTCTGAGTGGACGCCTGGTTGCCACTGCAACTTTTTATAAAGATATTAATATAAAATGTATGTAGGTTTGACCAAGTTTCGCAGCTTCAATTTGCAATTTTTGGCCTGTTAGTAGTAAATCAAATGAACGCTGAGATCCTTCGGAATATTGCTTAATTCCAAAATTGAAATTACATTTTTGAGGATTGGCCGCCCTTAAAATAATACTAAAGGAAGCTTTTCTTGTTTCTTTGATTAACATATTTTTCATAAAACGCCCATTATCTCCCTAAGGATATACAGGGTTGCTCATTAGTGCGTCAAAGTGCGATATCTCAGTAAATATGAACTTTACAAGTTACGTCCTACGAAAGTTTTTCATGTTTAAAAGGTCCACATTTTAAAATTACTTTCCAATATACGGGGTGTATCATAAACGTGTGGTAGTTACCAACTTTGGTTTTTTAAATGGAACCGCCCCTTTTTTCATTCATTTTCAGATTTGTCGTCAAAATTTAAGTTAAGTTTGTGTCAAACGTTTTACCTGAAAAATTTACGATTTCCGAGTTATTCGTAAAAATGTGAAAGTTTTGACAGCTACTGGGTTCCACAGAAATCGATGCTGTACACTACCCGCTGCGAATTTTGGAAAACAGTTTTCAGCGATTCTAACAGAACATCATGATCTACGTGTAGATATGTTTTAAATTATAAGGAAATACTTCTAAACCGCGCAATTAGCCTCTAAACTTGCATGTTTTTAAA